TCAGTGTTTATATAAGGTTGTAGCTGAAGCTTTAAGAGCCATTGCAGCGGAGGGGGTTTCAGTGTTTATATAAGGTTGTAAATGAAGCTTTAAGAGCCATTGCAGTGGAGAGGGTTTCAGTGTTTATATAAGGTTGTAGCTGAAGCTTTAAGAGCCATTGCAGTGGAGGGGGTTTCAGTGTTTAGATAAGGTTGTAGCTGAAGCTTTAAGAGCCATTGCAGTGGAGGGGGTTTCAGTGTTTAGATAAGGTTGTAGCTGAAGCTTTAAGAGCCATTGCAGTGGAGAGGGTTTCAGTGTTTAGATAAGGTTGTAGCTGAAGCTTTAAGAGCCATTGCAGTGGAGGGGGTTTCAGTGTTTAGATAAGGTTGTAGCTGAAGCTTTAAGAGCCATTGCAGTGGAGGGGGTTTTCAGGATCAAACGGTTCATGAGGATTTAAATTAATTAGCAGAGGGGGATTCATATATTTAAAACAAAAATTTCGAATCTGAAATTTTGGAAATTCTCTCCAGTCCTGTTGATGAGATTATAAATTTTGATTAAAATTTTTCTTATCGCTTTCCAGTGGCTCTACAGCGATTGAGCTCTTTATTAATCATTATAGAGTTATTTGCATTTTAAGGCACAGGCAGTGCCCATACCACATATATAAAAGTAATATTAGCAATAATACGAGCAGTAAACTAGATAAGATTAATTAGTAGAAGAGAAACTCGTTAAAACATTCCGTGAACTCTTCTTAAACCTAATATAACGCTAATATAACCCTTTATAACGTGGTCTGCATTACAAATATTTTGATAATTCCGGCTAACTCATTATTTTTGGGATGATGATCTCGTTTGTTGTAATTGTTATCACCTGTGCAACTGTAGAGGCTGCCGACATTGAACCAACTCATTCTCCTTGTCAAGGTTACATTTTAATTAGGGATTTATAGAATTTATAGTACATCAACTTTTTAGAATACCGCAAACATTATATTACCCAGAATTGCAAATAATACGACTTTGTAGCTCGATTTTAATAATAAGCTTAATTCTTTTTTGAAGCAATAGTTTAGATGAAAGAATAAATTATGTACACAGTTTAATAATACTAGCAGGAACCCGTCTAACCCTAAAATGGTGTCAAGACTCAAGAGACTAAAATAATTATTATCTATTTAATTCGCGTTTTTAACACCACTTAGGGGTCCAAATTTGGGGCTCTAAAACTTTTATTTCTCCGCCAATTTTTTATTTTTTCATGCTGATTTGGAGGCCATTAAAGCATTTGGCCCAGTCAAAAAAGTTTCAGTTGTATATCTTTTACGGTTTTTGCGGAAAGTCGCGTTAAAGTTGATGCCGTGGTGTCAGTAAAATGGCACGGATAAACATATATATATCGTCTCGCTTTATATATAGTAAGATAATTTAAATATCAGGACTGCAAAACATCATGAAGGTGTTCTCTGCCTCTCCCGAGTGTGCCAATGAAAGAAGCGAACTGCTGAAAAGTGTGGCTGACTATCTGAAGAACCTTATTCAAGGAAATGAGGGGGATATGGATGGAGAAGCTGAAATTGAAACTGAGTTGAAATTGAAATTGAAAAGAAAAGTGAACATGCAAGGAATCAACGGTGATTTGAATAACGAGGCTGAACTTGAAACTGAATTGAAACTTAAATTGAAAGGAAAAGTGAATTTATAGTTATAAACGTTACATTCTTACACTTATAATGTTACATTCTTACAGTTAAACTTATAATATCGTTTTTCTATTCTATCCATGGATCACATCACTAATCCCCACTGAGTGGGTGATTTAGGGGTCCGGACTCTAGGGCGTAAGACTCTAGGGCGTAAGACTCTAGGGCGGCGCCCTACAAAACAGGACTCTACGGCGTGAAAATATCTAAAGCGTGAAAAAAACAGGACTCTAGGGCGTGAAATATAATTTTTATATTTTCGATCAAAATGAATCTAATTTCATTTTTAATAAGGATGTCCGTTGTCACAGGTTCACAGGGAGTATTTATCTCGACCTAAGATACAGCCAATGAAATGTAACACTGACTGGGCATAACGAAAGCGGATTAAACTTATTTCAAAACAATACTGTACTATTATAGTATGCATATTTGATATTATATACATATATAGAGTCCCAGTCCCATACATAATGATAAACTTTAAATGTAAACAATACTGATAGCTAGTGTCTTAGAGGTGGGAAGCGTGGGAAGCTGTCAGTCACCAACATTTTATTGTCAAATTATAAAAGCTCACCAACACCCTGTACAGTAAAGAAAGATGTTTATAATCAAAACAATAACAATAAAAACATGATCTAGTGATCTATCCCATCATTAATTCATTATCATTCGTTTCCTACTACACTATGTCCGATCTTTCGTTTACTTTAATCAGAGGAAGAACGGCCAAGAGTAAGAACGCACTGCACCTAGGATTCCGGTACTCTCCAGATGGAAAATTAAGAAAAGATGGGTCACAGTTTTGGAGATGTGTGAAGAAAGCCGGATCCTGTAAGGGAAGAATCTGGACCAAGGGTTTGAGCCTCACGGAGACACCTGCAATTCCACACAACCACGAAGCTGACTTCATAGACGCAGAAAATTAGAAAAAAACAATATTTCACGCCCTAGAGTCCTGTTTTTTTCACGCCCAAGATTTTTCACGCCCTAGAGTCCTGTTTTGTAGGGCGTCGCCCTAGAGTCTTACGCCCTAGAGTCTTACGCCCTAGAGTCCCGGACCCGGTGATTTAATCTCCCCTGCGAGACCCCGGATCTCAGGGGCCAAGTCGTCGGCATCTCGCTTATTGCTCAATTAACGTTAACAATCAACATTTCTAAGTACAGTAACATCATTACTCCTTCATTAACTTATTCGTTCTGCCCCCCCCCCCCCCACTCCTTGTATTACTTTTATTCTCATAGCAAGTTGACTAACCTCCATGGGGCTCGGATTAATTGCATTCCTCCGCTTAATCTTGCTGAAGTCTCTTATGTATGTATAATGTGTGTAAATATTTGGGGTAAATGACATGGTTATGACGTGGTTATGACCATGTCATAACCATGTCATAACCATGTAATTCTACATTTATACAACTTGTGCCAAGGAAACTCAGTTTAAGACATTCGTTTAGCCAGCTTTTTAGAGAAATGAGCGTCGAGCTCAGTATCCTTCATTAGACTATGGTCTGATAACATGTCATCCAGAGTGCCAGTTCTAGCATTGAAATCCCCGAGAAGAATGATATCCTCGTTCAGAGGAACTCCAGCCAGGAATTCTTGGTGTAGCTCGTTGGGATAGTATAGGAATTCTAGTTCTTATAGTTGGGAATGAGGTAGTTGTCTGTTCAGGCCCTTCGTAACTTATTGCATCCAAGATACCATACATACCATTCATATGATCTGGTAACCAATCAACTATTCGCAAACACCTGTTGCTTGATTCAGGGGATACTGTTATTATGCAGTAATATGATCTGGTAGACAGTTGTTCGTGGACAATTGTCTGCGGACAGTTGTCCGCGGACAGTGGTCGGGCTATCTAGATACTGCCTCACTTTGTAAATTATTTGTGCACGCAACGTTATACTTATATCTTATTAATCAACTATATACAGTAAACACAAGATAATAGGTAAATCATAAAATCGAGTGGCCGAGTAGTCTCGACTCACCCATAGCTTCTCCATAAACGTCTATCATGAGCTTTGTACACTAAATCGTTGAAATTACTTAAACTAAATCTTTTATTTACAATCTTACTATATATAAAGCGAGACGATATATATGGTTCCGTGCCATTTTACTGACACCACGGCATCAACTTTAACGGGACTTTCCTCAAAAACCGTAAAAGATATACAACTGAAACTTTTTCGACTGGGTCAAATGCTTTAATGGCCTTCAAATCAGTATGAAAAACTAAAAAATTGGCCAAGGAATAAGAATTTTAGTGCCCAAAATTTGGACCCCCAAGTGGTGTCAAAAACGCGAATTAAATAGGTAATGATTATTTTAGTCTCTTGAGTCTTGACATTACTTTATAGTAAGACGGGTTCCTGCTAGTCACAATAATATCTTACTACATATAAAGCGAGATGATAGTTATCCGTCCCATTTTACTGACACCACGGTATCAACTTTAACGCGACTTTCCGCAAAAACCGTAAAAGATAGACAACTGAAACTTTTTTTACTGGGTCAAATGCTTTAATGGCCTCCAAATCAGCATGAACAAATAAAAAATTGGCCAAGGAATAGTAATTTTAGAGCCCAAAATTTGGACCCCAAAGTGATGTCAAAAACGCAAATTAAATAGGTAATAATTATTTTAGTCTCTTGAGTCTTGACACCACTTTAGGGTTATACGGGTTCCTGCTAGTAATTATAAAGTTTGTTATACGTATAGCGAATAGTAACAAAGTGAGACAACGATCCTAGCCTACTATAAGTTTAATGGCAGATAACGATCGTACTATAGTGTTTCATGTTTAAAACTTATGCATTATATTCCATAGCAGATAATATTATCCTTTAACAGCACACCCAAAAACCATAGAAATAAGTTGTGAGTCTGTAAAGGATTGCCACAGCAACGCTTTACCCCAGTATTGAGCTTACCATATTTCTGTCGATTACTAATCCTTGTTAATTTCCGTATAGCAATGATGATCACCTTCATTGTGACACTTTCCTTGGTTTGTGCTCTATCCTCTAGTAATGACGGACTGAAGGTCCGAGCTCTGTCATTTGGTCGAACAAGCGCAGACTATGTACAATTCCAACCTGGTGATATGTCTCCGTTCTCTACTTCCTTTACCATATGCTCATGGATGAAGAGACTTCATGATGCGAGTTATCCAATAGTGTTGAATTACAATCCAGGACATGTCATCATCGGAGGCGACGGATATTGGAATAGTGCTATTAAAAGTTACCTAAATGTAAGAGGAAGGTACGCAGGAGCTAAACAGTGGTTCCATTACTGTTTATCGATTGTGGCTCGAGGTACACTGAGAGTGTACGTGAACGGTGCACAATCAGGCAGCACATCAGCTTCAACTAGCTGGCTTACAATGGGAGGGACCATCACTTTAGGGAACTCTGAGTCTATGAGTACAGGTTACATATTCGGTGGACAGTTACACAAGCTGAACTGGTATTCTGAAGAACTGACCTCCTCCCAGATTAGAGAGATGTATGAAGCTGGTTTGTGTTCTACTGTAGAGGAGGAGTATAGCAGCAGGGAGATAAAATGGGAGCTGATTCTGACGAAACAGAGATACGGTAATGTTACAGAGTTTCTCCCAACAGAATGTGGAGTAGACCGCAAGACCAAGCTGGAGGAAACTGATGTTAAACATGCCACCATTGAGCAGAAACTACAAGAAGTGACTGAAACTCTTAACGACACTCTAACAAAACTGAATGGGACAAAAGCAGAGTGTAGGGAATCAAAGATTGTGCTCCAGGAAAAAGAAACCAAGCTTAACAGAACCGAACAGAAACTACAAGAAGTGACTGAAACTCTTAACGACACTGTAGCAGAACTGAATGGGACCAAGGCTGAGTGTAGGGAATCAAAGATTGTGCTCCAGGAAAAAGAAACCAAGCTTAACAGAACGGAACAGAAACTACAAGAAGTGACTGAAACTCTTAACGACACTCTTTTGGAGGCTAGAAGTCTTGAAACTGTAAGTAGATGGGACGTTCTGTTCACTCCCCCTTACCTGAATAAGCTCTTTACACGGCAGCTCTACAATCAACTGATCAACTGGGTCATGATGGGTAAATCTTTCGTACATTTTCTGTTGTCGTTTTTGTATTTCCCAGGAAATGTATAATTGTTTGCATAATTGTATAATTTTGTATAATTGTTTCATATTATCATTATTTAACAACTTGACCAGATAAAGTTCATACCAAACTTATAACATTTCAGAGGATTTCATTGGGGTGAACGTTACAGTGGGACTGGTGGAGCATTTCAAACAACACCACGAGGAACAAGAGGACCATGAAACTTGCGACGAGGACTGAACAACAACTACTGTTATCTACTATTGAAGTTTTAATTAAGTGCATAATACACTGTAACATTTGTCATTGGGCCCTGTAATCGTCTGTAATCATCTGCAATCAACATTTTAGCTGTAATATTAATATTACTAATATACTGTTATCAGCTATTAACTATCAACTAATATTATTCTATGTGACTGTATTAAACTGTACTGACTTAATAAGACGTAAACATTTATTATGATAATTACGATTTACAAATTATTAAAATCTTTGATTTTAAGCTGTGTTCAACTGTTAACACTAAAATTTGACGAAATCAACACTTATTATAAAAACTCCAACTAATTATCTGGCAGCTGTTCTAATGATATCTTTTAAACCTGGCAGCTGTTGGTAGGTTTAAAAGATATCATTTGAACAGCTGCCAGATAATTAGTTGGAGTTACCAATTAGAGAGGAACTGAAGCGGTACGACAAAAATTGTACCAGATAAACAACTGACTGCTCTTTTATTTTGAAATTAGCGACCCGTCCTAATAATCACTAAGTAACTGGTAAAAGGACGACTTTATGATCAATGTTTTCTGTGCCTCATCGAATATATTTTAATATCTGATATAAAATACCTCCATTATCTCCGTAATTTGAGTTATGACAAGAGATATTGGCGGAAATTGCAATGAAGTTTTTAATTTTTAGTTTTTGTTTTAGGGAAAGATTAGACTTGGGCGTTGTTTTTTAACTATCCCTTGTTTAGAACTTTGATTTAATAATAAATAATGATTTAATATAAAATATCAGTATCGGGGTCCTTCATCCTTTTTAAGCTACACCTCTAGAACGAGTCCAAAATTAAAGGGTTTATCAACAACCACGACATGGAGAAATAATGCGAAGATGAGTACATAATGGATGCTTTTTGATGATTTCGATGGCTTTCACTAGGTCACCCTTACATCTACCGCTTGTACGTCTGATGGATATTACCTACTGAGTATCAAGATACTGTCTACATGTTAGGAGGTGTAAAGATGGTACGTATAGAAAATGTCTTCCTTCTAAAATATCACCAATCGCTACACCTTAACACCTACGCTATGCATTTTTATAGGTAACTAGGCAATAATGCTAATATGAGGATCATCTACTTACCTACTATAATTAGTAGGTGAGTAGATGCACTTCAGCAATCCAGTTGGTTGATCTATTTTGAAAACATATAGTATATACTGTATACTTCTACGCTGTTAAATAATCCAACCAGAGAGTACCTAAAGGCTGCAAATTTGGCGAATTGTTCAGTATAATTGCATTGTTTTTTTCTCCAAATTTACCACACATAAAGATGTTTTAGGCAGATGCGAAATCGCACTATTTACGAAATATTACCGCTCCTACAATAACTACATGTAATGTAATGTTGTAATGTAACTACATTTTGCCTCTGTTATAAATATTAAGTAAGTAGACTGATATTTGCACTGTACTGTGTACTGTGCACTGAGTACTGTCCTATAAATTATCTCCAAGTTAAATCTTACCGCGAATAAGAAACCTTGGCACCAAGTTTCAGCATGAATGAAATTAAATGGTGGTATGGTAAATGAAATTAGCAGAATATTAGAATACCTGAGTGATTCCGTTTCCAGGAACCCTGTAACCAGCTGTTACCAGTAACCTTTGACATGTGCGCATGAATCAGATAACAGATAACACTAGCTGGCACTAGCTGGTTTTGAACTAGAACCTTCTACGATATTCAGAAGTTGTGGTTCTGGGAACTCTCTAAAATGATTTCTGGGATCTGTAACTATGGTAACTGGGATCTGTCCCGACCATTTCTAGTTGAAATCGCTTTTTTTTCAAATTATTTCCGACTAAAATATGTACTAGCACTTATTAACCAGTATACTGTGACTATGACTAAAATACTATGTTTCCTGATAAATATCAAGACAGTATTTTGATAACCTAATTTACCAATTTTATGAGGAGATCAGTCCATAATTTATAAATACAATCTAACTTTTCAATTATCTTGTTTCTGCAGATCAGCCATAGGTGATAAGAACCAACATTTAAAAACCGGTGACTTCAAACATTAACGGGTACTTCAAACAGTTGCTAGGTAACGGTAACATTAACGGGTCTTTTGATCCATTCCGGAGAAAAGTCCGGACTCATTCATCGCACGCTTAATTATAATCTGTTAATATTATCTGTAAATATTCCGTATTTTAATTATGCCGCACCCTTGAAATAAAATATTCATTTTTAAAGTTGTCATTTTCTCAAACTTGATCCGAGTTCCCGAACATCATCAAAAATGCCTTTCGTAAAATTCGTGTCTTTAGCACTTGTGCTTGCTTTGTGTGGGAGTGCAGTTGGACAAAGCAAGTGTCTCCAACTAAAGAAACAGGACAGTATGTACGGGTACAACCTGGCTCGCGGGAACAGGAAGTCCGTCTACTTCCCTCTATTGCGAGTGGGAACTCAGAGTGCGGACAGGAACCTTGGAACGATCAAGCTTTACAACCGACACACGCCCATCATCGAGTTACAAGTGACAGTTACCATAGGTGATAACGGAGATTCTACGCTGATTTTAGGCGCGATGCACACAACAGAAGCCGGATGTGGGGACCTCACTACAAATGACTGCGTCAATGATGTTCCTGAAAGCAGATATCCGATGTGGGCAAACTGCCAAGACTTCAACTTCAACGCCTTGACCCCACGTGGACTAAACCTGGAGATGAGACTGGAAGGTAAGTTCCTGGTAGTGTCTGTGGAGGGGGACCTGGTAGGGAAAGTAGCCCTCCCTCCTATAGGCTGCATGCCCCACGCCCTGAGACACACTATCACAAGAATAGCTTACATCTCCGGAACTACTCTCGTGCAGGCCTTCATCTGCAATTAAGGAATAGAAGCAAGGGACAACACGTCGTACAATTATTAGCATGTGGTATTTTTAATTGTCCGCTAGGATTCATGACAAACCAACAAGCCGAGTAGCGTGGCTTTTTCAATCATATATTTTTTATTATTATTATTTTATCGATTTACAACATTCAACTTTGTGTGGATTTTTAATAGCCAATATAGTTACAATTATGTAATATTTTGAGTACACGTTGTCTAGTTCAATGAATACAATCAATTTATTAATTCATTTTTATTTGTTATTCGTGTCCCATCATACGGAAATATTTTACATTAACGATAAAAACAAATTTATGAATTGTAAACCTTGATTCTGCAAAAGTTCAGTGCACATAAGTTGGGTTTTATAATATGAACATAGCCATGATTAATATTTGAGACCTGCAACTGCAAGTGTAATTTTTGTAACTACTCATTCAACTTCAAGGATTCCGTCGCCACAACTTGAAAATTAGATTTATACTCGAAAAATGCCTAAAAAGAAGTACAACTTTTGGATTGTTAATGGTTTTGAATGCCTTCGAGCCTTCATTTTAATGTCCGTTTAAAATTGTGTCTTGCTACACATTGTACAGCGTGTGTAAACACAATCTCCGGTCAAGTGACGTCTGGTAAGGTAATGGCTAAATTCTCTAAAGATGTAAAAATAATACAAAATGTTACGGAGTCCATGAGGTTAGAGGGGAGTAAGAAAATACACGCTTAGAAAAAACAATCAATTTAATTTTAAATGCAATTTATTTAAATTTAAATTGAATAGCTGTGTGTTGCTAAGTGTTGCTATGTGTTGCTATGTGGCATGATAGTAGCATAAATTCATAATCACGGGGTCTAATTGTCAAGGTTTCTGTGACAATGAACTGGGTTAATATGCTCAAGGACTGTTCCAGGGTGAACTGGTCCTAGTAGAAGATGTGCTAAAGATGTGCTTAATAATAATTTCTTTTGAATAGAGTGAAATAGGTAGGCGAACTAAACCATGTGACATATCACATACCACATACCACATACCACATCTTACATTCTTACAAGTATAAATAAGACTGTACTTGTTTGTTTGTGTGTGTGTTTGTTTATTTATTTCCAGTTGCGTTTTGAGATATCGGCTGATTGCACACCCATTTTGTTTATTCATTTTCCGATACGAGATTGGGGACGGGTTTTATAAATAGAACCCGTCCCCAATCTCGTATCGGAAAATGAATAAACTCAAATCTGAGTGTGAATACTTGTCTGAAAAAAAGCAATAGAAATAATTGTATAGTAATGCAAGACCGTACTTATTACCTATAGTACTTATTGTAGTTTTAGAACTAATTGAAGTACTTATTATGTTATTTCGGTAGAATGGCTGGCTTACAACCAAACCAAGTCCAACTGCATTAACTCTGCTTAAGAAAATTAATAATTTGACGAGCACTTTAGACATTTATCAGATTTCAGGTGTGCCCTAGGGCCTAGTCCCTACTGTACGTACGGCGGTCGCGCGCTACTGCAAGTCCCTACTGTACGGGGTCTTTAATTTTTCAATGTAACAAAATCCCTGGTCACGTGTCGATTGCAAACAGAAGTAGGAATTGTCCAATAGACCGCACAGAGTGAAAGGGTTTGGATCTGCCATTAAAAGGTATCTTGTTGATCTTCAAAGGTTTCCTGAGCAGTTTCTCGTTTCCTGAGAAAATGCAGACAATCGGTCATCCCCCCCCCCCCCCCCCCCCCCGGCTACCTCTACTCCCCGGGCTCCCGCACAGTTTACAGGGCACAATCAGCTTCACTGGGTGTGCAATCAGCCGATATCTCAAAACGATGCAACTGAACCCAGGTCATATTACAACAACAAGTGCCCCCACTTTCTGGGTTTATAATTATTTCCCCGAGCTACTCTGTCTGGGAAAAGTCCAAATTGGGCGAAGATTTCCTGTAGCCAATTGACATTTTCTACATCTAATAACACTAAAAACATAACCTTGAAGGGCGTTCTGAAAGATTTACATAATATAGCAGTGCAGTGTTACCTTCCGGATCAGTACCACCAACTTTAAAATGGAGACTACAAGTCTACTTCCCACTGTTATTATAACACGCCTATCATTCTACGTTTCCTTACAAAATACCTTCTAATAAATGAGTGTAACCATTTGGATGGTCGGCCGTTCATGATGTCATGAAGGTAAGATTCACTTTTAAACTCCATCTCAGGAAATGAGGTTCAGATTCGACTCAATTTCCACCGCTGAGTAGGTCTCGGCCATACACTGATGTATGCCAAGTTTGAAGGTCCTAGCTTAATCGGTTTGATTTTAATCAGTACAAAACTTCCTATTATTATCATCGAGAAACTTCGCTCACAATATAATATAATATCTCTCCCGCTCTAATGTGATCGAGATGACGCGCGCTGTCACGTGGGCGGTCCTCCGCCCTTTTCAACCAATGAGAGCGCATTGTGTTGGCACATGACCCTTATTTCGCCCAATCTGCAGACAGCACTTTACTCTATGGTTAGCAGCGCAAACGTTTAGGAGGAAGAATATACACCAGAGAATGTACATCGCAGGCTCATTATAAAATTGTTTCTCTGAGGTTCGTCGTTACTCATACCGAGTCTTAGTTTTTACATTTTTCTCAGCCTAATTATGGTAAGGCTACATTTACATTCTAATTACATTAAAGTCTAAAAAAGTTCATTGAAAGTTCATTCTATCTATCTCCGTCCTAGAAGTAGTATAAAAAGCATTAAAATTGTTCCGTATAAGTTCCGGCAAACAGTAATTCGATCTTATTTTCAAAGCTTTTAACTTTCAGCGCGAGTGTATCTCTATTCATATTGGTCAAGCCGGTGTCCAGATTGGAAATGCTTGCTGGGAACTCTACTGCCTGGAGCACGGTATCCAGCCTGATGGACAGATGCCTTCTGACAAGACCATAGGAGGTGGTGATGATTCTTTTAACACCTTCTTCAGCGAGACTGGAGCCGGGAAACACGTTCCTAGGGCTGTGTTCCTTGACTTGGAGCCAACTGTTGTTGACGAAGTGAGGACTGGAACCTACAGACAACTCTTCCATCCCGAGCAGCTCATCACTGGAAAGGAAGATGCTGCTAACAACTACGCTCGAGGCCACTACACTGTCGGGAAAGATATTGTCGATCTCGTTCTAGACAGACTGAGGAAACTCGCTGACCAGTGCACTGGACTTCAAGGATTCCTTGTCTTCCATTCCTTCGGTGGAGGTACTGGATCTGGGTTCACCTCTCTTCTCCTGGAAAGACTGAGTGTAGACTACGGAAAGAAGAGCAAACTTGAGTTTGCCATCTACCCTGCTCCTCAGATCTCAACTGCTGTGGTAGAGCCCTACAACTCCATTCTGACGACCCACACCACCCTCGAGCATTCTGATTGTGCCTTCATGGTCGACAACGAGGCCGTCTACGATATCTGCCGACGAAACCTGGACATTGAGAGACCTTCCTACACCAATTTGAACAGACTGATGGCACAAATTGTCTCCTCCATCACAGCTTCTCTCCGATTTGATGGTGCTCTGAACGTTGATCTGACTGAGTTCCAGACCAACTTGGTGCCCTACCCCAGGATTCACTTCCCTCTGGCTACTTATGCTCCAGTTATCTCCGCTGAGAAGGCTTACCACGAGCAGCTCTCTGTTGCTGAGATCACCAACGCTTGCTTTGAGCCTGCCAACCAGATGGTGAAGTGTGATCCCCGACACGGCAAGTACATGGCTTGTTGTCTCCTCTACAGGGGAGATGTTGTCCCCAAAGACGTCAACGCTGCCATCGGCACCATCAAGACGAAAAAGTCCATCCAATTTGTGGACTGGTGTCCCACTGGATTCAAGGTTGGCATCAACTACCAGCCACCAACTGCTGTTCCCGGAGGTGATCTTGCTAAGGTTCAGAGAGCTGTGTGCATGTTGTCCAACACCACTGCCATTGCTGAGGCATGGGCCCGTCTGGATCACAAGTTCGATCTCATGTATGCCAAGAGAGCCTTTGTCCACTGGTACGTAGGAGAGGGAATGGAAGAGGGAGAGTTCTCTGAAGCTAGAGAGGATCTGGCTGCTCTGGAGAAGGACTACGAGGAGGTCGGTACCGACTCTGTTGAGAACGAGGGAGAGGAAGATGATGATGAGGAATACTAGACCCTTCTAGAACTCCCGCTGGGCGATGAGGAATTTAGAATTTTCTAGAACTTTTACATTTGACTGCTAATTTTCTGAATGAAATAATATATCATTATCTATTGGTCTTTTTTAGTTACAGATAGAGATATTTGAGTGCGGCCGTTATGCCAAAGCTCGTGCTGTAATAATTTTCCAAAACTTTTAAGCTTGAAATAAATGTTCAACTTCTCTTTATCTTGTCCAAAACCTTCATTGACTAGGAATAACGAAATATGAACCGCTTAGATAAAGCCTTAATCTAAGCTATTATAGGGGGGGGGGGGCCAAGTGGATATTTGTAGATATTTGTAGAATGTCATCCACTTTTTTCGTGAATTATCCATTGACAATAATCTACAAATATCTACATTTATCTACAAAAAATGTATAGAAATTTGTGTGATTTCTTATCCATTACATGTTTTATCTATTGGATTCCAGAAAGCTTCCAGTAATCATACATGTCATTAAATACCTGAATTAGGTTCCATATTTGATGTAACCACTCATCTATAATTTCATCAAGGACAACCCCTATATGCTTGCCTATACTTCTCTCAGTGCTTTGAATCTGACTGACCGTCAAGATCCTTCACTTGTTCTGGATCTGTCCTGCTTATACTAGTATTTTTTGAGAGAAGGATATTCAGCCACAGGACTTTTTCTGAAGAGTATCCATTTTCTAGCTGAGGCTTTCTTAGACAAGGATTTTAGTCCAGAGCAGAGAGTAGAAAAGGCTTGGTACTGCAAGTATTTTTTTGTTCTCTGGAAATCTAATATAACTGATAGTTGTCAGTTTATAACTTGGCAGACGTTTAAAGATCTGAAATGTACTTGCGATGGACTCATTCTCTATCTCCTTTTTCTGCAAAAGTAACAACATACCTACTAGGATCTGATGCTAATGAACAACTCTTTGCTTGGATTCGAACTGGTATCTTTGCTGGTCGCCGCACAAATCTCGATGCCATAACTGACAGTGGTGTGCCCACCTATGAGTGAAATTGAAACGTAGCGCGCCTGAAACGTCGCGCGCCTGAAAGCATGACAATGTCAGCCGCGCCGAAAGCTTTCATAAGGTTTCAGTAATCGCGTCTGCGGCAAATTAGAAAATTTTTAAAAATTTGCCAGTATTTGCCACAATTTGGCGGGACTGGAATATGATGCATTGGTTCGGTTAAAAAAACACCAGATATAATGATAACAAGATTAACGGTGACTGAAATATGGCGAAACTTGTTTAGCCCACAGCTATTGAAAATGTAGAGTTTACGAAGCTTGATGACTTAATGATAACACAATTCTTTTAGGCAGATAAAGATATTAAATCAAATACATGAAAACATAGCACGGCATGATAATCGAATGAAAATTATGTTGACCATCAGTCTTAGTGCCATGTCCGCAAGTGTACTTGTCCCCTTTTGAATCCATGAGCTATTGGGACATTAGCGGACATGGTTTTTGGGACATTAGCGAAACTAGAGTTAACGAAGCTCAAGTTACCGAAGCTTGATGACTAAATGATAACACAATTCTTTTAGGCAGATAAAGATATTAAATCAAATACGTGAAAACATAGCACAGTATGATAAATAAATGAACATTATTCTTAGTTTATTCCTTTTGTGTGAATAAGATCACCGTAGCAGACAGCAGTTCACGCAACATTGGCCGTGTGGACTGCTTGTCACTTGCGGAGGACATTTAAAAAACACGTTCTAGAAAAGTACACGTGTTAGTCAAAACAATACATGCACGTTTTACAAAAAGAATTACAAGTGTAAAATTACCAATCTTTAAAAATACACGTGTTACAAATACAATTACACGTGTAACAAAATACTGAGCACATATCAGGCCATATATTTGCTTAAATTTGAAGTGAGTTAAGTTTTAGAACCCTTTAAAAGCAACTCTAAAATTCAAATTCTTACCATTCTGAGAGGATTGGATGCTAAAACGATGAGTATCGTTGATCAGGAGCTCTATTTATCAGGTTTTATAAAAACGCCAATAGAAAAATGCGAAGATTTTTTATAGGGTCTCCCAGGAGATTCTATGTACTTCCAAAAGTATACATCCATTTTTTTTCCAGGTGTATTCGAGGAAATGTCTAAGCTTGTTATGTATGCAGTTTCATTGACCTAATACAAATGATGGAATTTAAGTGAATTTAATCTGGCGGGTGGTGTTTCTTTTATGCAGATAAAGAGCTGAGTTGTGGTCTAAGATGGGAAGCCATAACTTATCTCTGGATCTCAATCGGGTTGACATAATTAAAATAATAGTGCAATCTTGTCCTTGTCCTCTCCCCAGAATCCACAAGATGGTTAGGAGAATCGTCGAGGGACAAGCTGCGTCCGAAGAGCTCCGAAGGAGGCTTTTCAATCAGTTCCAGCCTGAAATGAACAGTTTTCACAGACTCTGCATCATATACAATTAATAATAAAGCTGGACTAGCTGGACCTGTTCTTATGATAAAATTAATTAAAAATAAACCATGTTCCCCACTTGGAAACGATGTCACAGACAACAGCCACAATTTAACGGTAAACATTCTTCACTAAATAACTGACCCAGTTTTAACAAATTCGAGTCATGAGGAGGAGACTGAATCTTACTTACTCGTCTGCGTCGTCCAAGCGTGATATCCGCAAGAAATTGTGCAGATGCACACAGCTTTTCAGAATCAGCCTAGTCACCTCCTCATTTGTGGTCAGGTGACTCAGGATCTTCCATTTCCTTGATAGGTGTCCGAAGACGCACTCTATGACCATCCTGCCTCTGAAACAGTGTACAATTCAATCTACATAAGGTTCTACAAAAGTTTTCAGTTTTGCGATGATCACTTTACAGGAAAATACAGGAAAACAGCTCAAAGAGCACAAACGGTAATTCTTGATCAATTCATACAAAAACAATCATGACTGTCTAATCTAATTAGATGTAGTTTTCTGAATTGTCGAGGCTACAATTTATTTATTTATTTAATTCGTGACGTTCCAGTACCTGGATAACCTATAGTTTGTCATCCGCTGAGATTTTGACACCTTCCCCCTGTACGGCTTCATACAATGAGCATGAAGGGGAAAGGCATCGTCACCGACAATGTAGTAATTGACTCTACCAAGTCGCTCCTGAAAAGAAGACGTAAACATTATATTAATTAAGTATCTTACAGCCTAGATAACATATAAGCTCATATTTTTATGTCCTAAAGGATGCAGACCAATGGCGCTGTTTTTAGCGCCCAGAACCACTCTCCAATCAAGGCCCCCCATCAAAGTCCGAAAGCGGGGTTAAATTAAATCTTTCTATGAACACACCCTGTTCCATTGTTAAAACGGTAATCATGTTCAAGGGCTGGGATTCCGGGTAAAGTATTTACTGAGTTAATGAAGCCTCGAGCATTTGGTATTCACGAGTGTTCGCATATTATCATCAGTTCTTACCTGATCATCATTCGGCAGAATCTCAGCAGCAGGTATAAAACCCCGTTCTAGGAATTCTCCGGAGGCCAGTCCTCGTCCCAGTCTGTCCTCTGACCAGATTCCTCCGTCTGATCGACCGCCAAAGCTTCCAACGTTAAAATGACGGATTCTGAATAAGTAATTGTAGTAAAGAAGTTAGAGAATGATGTTAGCATTTAAGTTACATCTCTCATAGATCGCCCGCAATCCTCGCAAGTTTTAACTCCAATCTACCCATTCCTGTTTTTTGCAGAATGCAGCAATTTTTATTGAAAGCATGCAAAAAACGATATTCATGAGCGGTACATATGATATTGTTTTAAGATTACATATCTCATTTCAATAAGTTAGTAGGAATCTGGCTACATAATCTTGGTTGAAGAGGAGAAGTGACAATGTTCTTCACTACACTAGCATTTAAGTTGAACCATTTTTTTAAAGATGACATGTGAAAATAGCACTTACATATAATCAGCGTCACACACTGCGAGGAGAATAACAGACGGCCATCCGTGATAATTAATCGTGTAACTTCCAGTTTTCCCAAATTTTGTAATGAAGCAATGCTTGCCGTCCACTGCCCCTGAAATGACATGTGTAAATGCCTCTTCTGTCTCAGGACAGACGAGGATAATAAAATTGGTCGGCTCTGAATGTTTAAATCATACTCCTAAAATTTATGCTACTCAAAAACATCGAAATTTAATTCGTGAATTTTTGAAACTGTGGCGAACCTTAACTAGGCTAAGTTTCGGATTTCTGTGTGTGAAATGCCACCCTGTGGCGTATAGTTTTTGCCTGCTTTCAGAATGATCCAATAAAAACTGTACGAGGAGAGCATTTGAAGTTTGAAAAATGGTCGTTTCGGGAAGTCAAGATTGAAAACTTCCCATAGTTACTGTAGAATTGCATAATATGAGCAATGATCTTCAAACTGCAACAAATATCGTTTGATCTCACTCTATTCCTCTCTTCTTTAAGGAAACGCTATAGCATCAATTTCCATGATTCACCAACTCGAGACCCTCAGCTCCCGGCGTCCAATCAAAGATAATTATATATATATATATCAACGTCAATAGATCGCCTCCCCCCTCCCCATCCCAAGATGCCTCCCCACCGTTCAGTCAGACTTTTTCATTACCAATGCAGTGCGGCAGCTGCCATCTTTCATGGAATCTCTGAGCAATTTTTTTCCAACATTCAGTCGACCGTGGACGAAAATCTGCGTGTTCAGCCAGGCAGACAGAGATGGCCGTTGTCACCTGAAATACAATTTTTACTTGATATAATAGACTTCTGTTCCTGAGGTATACCTGGTGATAAGTAAACTCAAAGTGTCAGTGGCTCAATGAATCTATAGAATAAGCAACTAAGCGCACCAACCTTCTTTATTATCCTACACACTCTGCACCGGGATAGTACAAACTGGTTCGCCAGATACCCTTGCGCACACCCAGACTTCAGGTAGCTGTGGTGTTAACTTCAATTAGTGATGTAAAAAGTGATATTCCACATTTACATTATAACTCTTATATATATATATAAGATATAAAAAAAAAAAAATATATATATATATATAATGTAGTATTGAATGTAGATAAGAAATAATTCGACTTTTCATCTCTCTACAGAAATTTAAAGTTCAAACAACTGAAAAGTTGAGAAATTTCTCATAACGATTGACGACAGAGATAATTCCGTCATTTATAAATATTCATCCAAGATTCTACCCTATATTGTCCTGTCCAACCTTAGGGTTAAAATGAGCTGCTCTCTAGCTGAGATTGACGTACTTTTCCGGTTGAACTTCTTTGGTTCTAGAAGCGGTCGAACTTTCATGAAAAGTGAATGATACTCTGATCTCGTCATACCAAATTGACTCCTGCCGGGCATCATCATTAAAATCTATCGATGGATCAAAATCTCTGGCTTATCGATTTAAAAATGGACAAGGAAATTAGCGGATATTACTATTTAATCAAGTTATGAGATCACTGATCCTTGTATAATATCATTATACTACATTATACATAGTATAAATTTTACTAACTGCATTTAGCTAGTTTATAGTAAATACACACGATCGCAGAATAGAGGAGCACAATTGGGCTCTTTGTTCTGCGACCGTGTTTCCTTGGTGGGCCGACAGGTTTTTGTTGTGTAGTAGTGCTGGGGAAAAAACACGCTTTAACTATGATCAATGAGAGTAAACATTTTTAATTCTTGACCTTAGTGCCACAGTTTCTGTGGTAAAAACAAATTTATAGTTAAACGTTATATATCGTAGAAGGGCATGATTTACTCACATCACTAAGCATCTGGATGGATTATTAGCACACAAGGATAAACATGACCACCAGCTATACCACGTAACCATAGCTCCGAAAGAAATAAATTGCTCTACATAGAAACATCTGGTTATTCTGGCCTGATCCTATCACATTGTGGTCCCCAGGGGTTCGGTAACAGGCAACTGGGACCTGGGTCCTTTTACCAGCCACAATAACATTGGTCATGCCAGTACTGTCATAAACTGTAACCAACTATTAAAAATTAGTTATCTTTAGCTTAATTTTAAATTTTAAGTCATAGAGCAATCTTCTTAATTTTAAAATTTTTAAGAATAATATTTTACCCTAACTATGACGTGGTGGCACAATCATTATTCCACAATTTGTATTTCTCTAGATATCTCCAAGAATTATGTAAATATTAAGGCTCGCTAATATCATAGATATATATATAATAAGGCATGTCTTCTCCTTGCCACTAATTTTCCAAAAACTATGTCCACTAATATTCCAATAGCTCATGGATTCGAAAATGGACAGGACACCCCCAATCATACTAGGTTGAGCGATGAAAACATGATGTGGCATAAACTCATTTCGACTAGGCATTTCGTATTGTAAGATGGTAAATTAATCCGCAAATACACAACTCATTTCTTAAGCATGAGAGCGTTGCTAATCATGTAGGTTACCGGTAATGTTGCCTAAATATTGTGTAAGTCTGCTGTGTAAAATTGGACTTAATTTAATTATTTAGTTATTTAAACCCTTTAAACAAAATATTGAATTAAATTGAATTGAATATAATATATATTGCCAGAATTTACTTACTTGTACATTTCTGTTGTCCCATATTTTAAGAGACGGTTGATCTGAGTATTATAGGCTCCGAATTCCTTACGTCCTTGGTAGTAGTACTTTACAGGTGCTCTATAATACAATATAGAATGTCAACAGCTTTTTTTTTAAATTGTCACAAGGAAACACGATCAAGCGAACCTTGGCCCTTTAAATTATGGAAAAGTCAGACAATTCAAAATAAAAAGTTTGTAAATCACAATACTCGCCTTTTTGCACAGCGATAACTTATTGTACTGTAAACTGCTTTTCTTGATATTAACCGAGCTAGATGAATCAGCTTCCCAAGCAGCAGCCCACATCTCCTTTTCGTCATCACCATCCTAACGTCAAAATCTCCTTTTCGTCATTACCATCCTAAAGTCAAAATCTCCTTTTCGTCATCAACATCCTAAAGTCAAAATTTTCGATGTGAATACATAGAACATGATAATTAGATTAGATTATGATGAAAATCTTTTAAACATACTGGCTACAAAAAGCATTTTAGTAGTCCGAAGCTGTTCCAACATAAATTGAAACTGAGGTAAAAAGATGCCTAGCATCAAGTTAAATTTTAAATCATTATGACTGAGTTATGAATATCAAAATAAGGTAGGTGGTCGTTTCGAAGTAAGAATCCTGCAGCTGCACTGAATTAACAGCAGTAAGCGTAGTACATTCCATGAAAAGTTAGTTGCTGAGAACAGGACTTGAATCAGTGGCGTAACGAAGGGCCCTGCTGACCCTGCTGTGCAGGGGGGCGCTGTCTTATGGGGGGGGGGGGGGCGCCAAATCGTCGTTTGAATGTGGAACAATTTTGAAAAAATTTTGAATTACCGGCGTATCCTCTTATATTGCCTAATTTGTTCAATTTTAGGGAGGGGCACCAAAAGGAGAGGGGGCGCCAACAGGGGGGCACCTTTTCGGCAGGGGGGCGCCAACAGGCGACGTTACGCCACTGACTTGAATCCACAATCTCCCAATGAACGCTTGGATGCTTTAAGTTATCTCGGCCCCACTCAGTCCCAACAATTCACTTATTTGTACTACTAAATTATTTACAAGGAAATATTCAAAAATATTCATATTTACCCTTCTGTACTGAAGGGGACCCTTGGCATGGTCACTCATTTAACCCTCACACATGGTTTCCATTCGGCTGATCAGACCGGGAAGCTGCATAGACCCGATAGAGTCCTTAGCTGAGCGTCAATGACGCTCACCTCAGGGACTAATGATGCACCAGCGGGGAACCGAACCAATAGCCTTTCGATCGTGAAATCTAACTCCCGCCCCTACACCACCAAAGACCTGCAATTTAATCTTTCAAAATTCCGTTGGGTGCACATACCCAACAGAGTCTTTAGCTGAAAATATCTCAGATCGATTTTGGGCGTTTTCGACCACTTGTAGTTGAAATTCTTAAATATTAGATATCCTAATTTATAACTTTTAATCAGAGTGAATTAATAATTGATATTTGATAATTTATTTATTTGATAGTTTAGTCTGATATTGATATTAATATTGATTATATTGATATTTTTATTATTGAATGAAGCTAACTCCAGACATAAATAATACTACTTCTATTAACAAAGGGACTTGGAGTATAAACGACCAATTTTGCATAATTGTCTATCTAACCAAGAATTCAGGAGGCAAGGGTGGGTGCGTAAACTTTATGGTCTGCACTCTCAGATCCTGTATCACCCTGGATTCATTTCGACGTATTTTTGGTAAAAGTATATATACTTTCTGGTCACTCTCTTGCTACTCCAAGTCCCCTTTAGAAGATATATGGTCTAAAGTTTGCGCTAGTTATATTTATAAAATATGTTTTTGTCTGCTTTAACTGATACTAAATAAAATTGTTGTTTTCTTGAAAAAATTGTTGTTTTCTTGAGTTTTATTTATGCTATTATGAAAAATATATCAAAACCTCAGGAAACAACAATAGATGGCAGATTGAGCAGCGATGCTTGAAATTTGTGCAAATGTTGTTTGATTTGCATTTATCAAGAAAACGACACCGTAGAATCGTTTGTCGTCATGCAGTAACTTCAGTAAGCTACTAACTCACTAATGTGCAAATCTGAGAAATTTTGAGTAAGCGCTCGATTTTTGAATTAGGATATATGATGGAGCGAATGTGCGCGGCGCGCCTCTGATTTTCGCTTTTATGTATTTTCAGCGTGGCTGTTAAGTTTATTATATTTAAATGAAACTTTAATTGAAAACTTTAATTGAAAACTTTAATTGAAAACTTCGGTTGAAAACTTGAATTAAAAACTTTAAATGAACTTTGATTCTTATCTCGATGTCAAACCTTCGCCGCTTGGTGAGGCACAAAGGTGCAGTTTGCCGATCTACCTAAGGTTGCGAGAAGAATTATTTGATGCGCGGCGCGACCCAGTAGTGCATCGCGCTACAAAATGAACTTTAATCTAATATTGAATTTTGATTATAAAAGATTTTAAAAATATATCTAATGTTCAAAATGTAAAAAATGCATTATTAAAAATTGTTTAAATTGAAAAATATAAAGGAAAAAATGTTTACACCACATACATAAACTTAAAACAAAAAACATGTGTTTAAATATGTATTTCAATCTTTCAAAAATTCATGTAGATTTGTTACATCAAAAACTGGTACTGAACAAAATTAAGGAAGAAAAAAAATTGAGCCGCGCATTTAAAGATGTTTTACCTCGAACTATAAAAATCGAACGCTTTGACAACATTTGTCGAATTTCTTCAAAATTGACTTAGCAGATTTATTACTTTACTTCATGGTGAAAAAACACCATTTGCTAATATAAAAAGTGGTGCTTTGTTGTTCAATGCCCCTTGAGCGACGTTTGCATGTATTTGGACTAATTTCTTACTTTCATATGTATTGGTGGATGATGTTTGGTTGGATGACGGACGCCAAACAGCTACAGCTTTGAAGTAAGACTATAAATTGTGTGTAGCTAAATGAAATTTTACTGGGCCGCGCTCAGCCTGTCATTCCGCCAAATCTATATTAATGAACATAATAGCCTGGGGTCCTCAGGTAAAATGAAATTGCACAAGGTAGACGTTAAAAACTAGTGGAGCCGCGGCAAAGTAGCAAAATGCGCGGGCAGTTCTAAAATTTATAATGTCGCCGCGCCTCACGTCTTGTATCTTTGTATTATTAGACAACAACATCAAATTCACTGTCCATATTTTGTAACAAAATCTAAAATTTCATAATACATGGTGTTGTATATGTTTTAATATCACTATAACTAAAGCGGACAAGCTTTTTATTTTACAACAATATCATTCGGTCTCCTTGTCACTGTAACACTTTGAAAGAAACACGAAGATTGAACAGCGAGACAGAGAATGGACAGTGAGACAGAAATTGAACAGTCAGACAGAGAATGAACACCGAGAAAGATTGAAAGGTAAGACAGGGAATTAACTCTAAAATAGAGAATGAACACTGATGCAGAGATTGAATAATGAGACGGAGAATTAACGTCGAGACAGGAATGAACAGTGATTTAATAGTTAAACAGAGAATGATCACTGAGAAAGAGATTGAATAGTTAAACACATAATGAACGTTGAGACAGATTGAATATTGAGACGGAGAATGAACGTCGAGACAGAGAATGAACATTGAGACAGAAATTGAACAGTCAGACAGAGAATGAACACCGAGAAAGATTGAAAGGTAAGACAGGGAATTAACTCTAAAATAGAGAATGAACACTGATGCAGAGATTGAATAGTGAGACGCAGAATGAACGTCGAGACAGAGAATGAACATTGAGACAGATTGAATAGTCAGACGGAAAATGAATGTCGAGACAGAGAATGAACGCTGAGACAAAGATTGAATAGTTAAACAAGAAAATGAACACTGAGACAGAGATTGAATAGTTAAACAGAGAATGAACGTTGAGACAGATTGAATAGTGAGATGGTGACAGATCGAATAGTTAGACGGAGAATATCATAATATGGTTAGTTTAATATCTAATATCTAAAATGATTGCACGGCTTTTAAAGTAATATATTATCAAACATAATCTTATCTATGTTATCTATATTAGTTTCTTTTGTAAATATAGGATGCCACATCATTGGCGGTATCTGACAGTTTCTTATATAATAATGCACGGACATCATCGTCCATCACGTCAAACTCGGGATCATTAACGAAGGAAGTTATTCTGTTTGAAAGCTCCCGCCAATCTCCTTTATATAGTCTATGTCCCGTTTCTTCTTTCTTTTATCCCCATTTCCTCCAACCTCATCATCTTCTACTTCTTCATCCTCGTCTTCTGATGCTGGATAATCGCAGCATTTGTTTACATCTGCATCAGCTGGCCATATCCCAATATCACTTCCTGCAAAAATAATATCGGATTTTATATTTTGACTATTATAAGAATTGGAAGCAAAGCAATAGGGAAAACCTTGCAAACCCTGCGGAGATGTGATTTATGACTCTGATGGCAGAGAGTGATAACCCACTTTAACAGACAAAATTATCTTTGTCTTTCCAACCCTGATAACAACCAGAGTCCACACGGATACCTCGCCTCGGAGGTCGAAGTAATGCCCTGCCTTTGATATTGATAATAATATTTACTTTAGGAAACTTCATATTTTCTCTACAAGCAGGCTCCACACCTCCTACATCGACGCGGACGCACGGCCATAGCACATGAACGAGTTATGAACCTCAATTTTGTCTTGTCTATTCAAATTGGAATGTAAACATGCATACAGATCAATTTAACAGACCTTTATCTTTTACGAAGAACGGTATGTTTCTGTAATCTTCAGGTAGGTCCTCCCATTTCATTGAACCATCATCGATAGCTTGAAAAATATGTCTGCAGGGGATGTGAGTCCTGCTGAAGTTTCTGCAGGTGCAAGTTGGTCCTCTGATGTTCAGTTGGTGGGGCTCAGACTGGTGAGAGGATTTCACATGGAATACTCCATCAACGACCTTGCACACTTTGCTTGACCGTTTACCTTCTAAAATTACTGGCTGTTATTCAAAAAATCAAACCAAGAGAAAACACATAATATTTTGTCGCTTTATAATTCAAATTATTACTACAAAAAAATACTCGATTCTCCAGAAATTTGCCTTGCACATATAATGTAGTAAGGAGAATAACTACTGAGCTAAATATAGAGTAACACTGACGAGGACAGAGAGTACTTACTGTTCTCAGGAGAAGGAAACCCTTGGTCTACTGTTTTGAAGAGAACTAGAGCGTTACTACTTGTCACTTGTCAGAGAGTTAATACTGAATGGAACAATAACTGCTGAGAGAAATGTAGAGTAACACTGATGAAGACAGAGAGTTAATACTGAGTGGGAGAATAACTACTGAGAGAAATGTAGAGTTACACTGATGAAGACAGAGAGTTCATACTGAGTCGGAGAATAATTACTGAGGGAAATGTCTGAGTAACACTGATGAAGACAGAGAGTTACCACTAAATGAGAGAGTAACTACTGAGGGAAATGTAGATTAACACTGATGAAGGCAGAGAGTTAATACTGAGTGGGAGAATAACTACTGAAGGAATGTCTAGAGTAACACTGATGAAGATATAGAGTTAATACTGAGTGGAAAAGTAACTACTGAGGGAAATATAGAGTAACACTGACGAAGACAGAGAGTTAATACTTTAATACTGTGTGGGAGATTAACTTCTGAAGGAAATGTCTAGAGTAATACTGATGAAGATAGAGAGTTAACACTGATTGGGAGAATAACTACTGAGGGAAATATAGAGTAACACTGACGAAGGCAGAGAGTTAATACTGAGTGGAAGAATAACTGCTGAGAGAAATGTCTAGAGTAACACTGATGAAGACAGAGAGTTAATACTGAGTGGGGGAATAACTACTGAGAGAAATGTAGAGTTACACTGATGAAGACAGAGATTTGATACTGAGTGGGAGAATGATTACTGAGGGAAATGTCTAGAGTAACATTGATGAAGACAGAGATTTAACACTGAGTGGGAGAATACCTACTGAGGGAAATGTAGAATAACACTGATGAAGACAGAGAGTTGATACTGAGCGGAAGAATAACTACTGAGCGAAATGTAGAGTAACACTGACGAAGACAGAGAGTTAATACTGAGTGGGAGAATAACTTCTAAAGGAAATGTCTAGAGTAACACTGATGAAGACAGAGTATATATATTATACAGCCGTTGTCAGACCTTCTCTGACATACGCTGCGACAATCTGGCTCAATGGTGTGTCCAAAAAACATAACCTAACAATCCTTAGCAGTGTACAGCGGCTGGGGAACATCCTCATAACAGGAGGGTTACCATCGACTCCTGGAGCAGCACTAGTATAGACATCATCACCGGAATCATCCCTATTGATCTGGTGATGGAAGAGGAAGCAGCAGAGCTCTCAGACTCAAATCCAACAACCAGTGGATATATGAGCCGATGGTAAACAAGAAGGGCAACCTAACCACCCACACAAAACTTAATGAACAGTTACTAAAGGCTATCAGTCTCAACTCTGAAGGACAAGATCAACAGACAACATCACTGAATGTTGACATTGGTTTCAACACAGAAATTCCCCGACTCTCTGAGTATGAGGTAATCGAGAATGACACCAATACTATACAATGTTACACAGACGGCTCCAAAATGAATGAAAAAGTTGGAGCAGGAGTGATCATTGTGGACAACGACACCCCACATGTGAGGAGTCATACCACCAAGGAATCAACTCAACCGTCTTCCAGGCCGAAACCTTTGCCGTAGGCACTGCGGCAAAAATATTACGGGAATCTGGGACCAAAACTAGAAAAATAAACATAAACTGCGATAGCCAGGCGACAATAATGGCAATGAGCAACATCAAAGTCAAATCTAAAAGCACCAGCACGGCTATAAGTGAGCTCAACCAACTAGCAATGGACAATCAAGTCCTACTACGATGGATACCAGCTCACAAAGGCTACGATGGCAACGAAAAGGCAGACTCTCTTGCCAAAAAAGGCTCCGACAATCTGGACTCCGCTCAAGTGCAACTACCAATACCAAAAGTATTATGGAAGGGAGCACTGCGGAGTATAAGTCATCGGAAGATGAGGGAAAGATGGAGAACTTTACCCCACACTCACTTTAAACGAGTATGGAGACAAAAGTTCGCCAGATCAATCCCGAAACTTGGCAAAGAGAGCACAAGAACAGCAACACAATTCCTCACGGGACATTGTGAACTAAACTACCATATCAATAAGTACAACGGTCCCTAAAACCTGTCCACACTGTCTCATGAAAGAGGAGACAATGAACCACTTTATTGGTCAGTGCCCGAAATGGTCTTACCAGCGAGGAGGATACTTTGACTCCTTCTACCTCAGTGTGACAGATATAGTGGACAAGTTCTCATTACCAAGGATCATCGGCTTCATACAAGCAACAAAACGTTTTACCAATGTGGAGAGGACAAGGCTTAACCTTGCTTTCTTCACAGATTAACTGTACCGGGGTAAGCACAGGGCTTCAATGCTCCATCTTATAGTGGTTTTGATCTATTCCTTAGTAGTAAAGACCACTGCCCTCTACGAAGAAGAAGATGAAGACAGAGAGTTAATACTGAGTGGGAGAATAACTACTGAGCTAAATATAGAGTAACACTGACGAAGACAGAGAGTTAATACTGAGTGGAAGAATAACTGCTGAGAGAAATGTAGAGTAACACTCATGAAGACAGAGAGTTAATACTGAGTGGGAGAATAACTACTGAGAGAAATGTAGAGTTACACTGATGAAGACAGGGAGTTGATACTGAGTGGGAGAATAATTACTGAGGGAAATGTCTAGAGTAACACTGATGAAGACAGAGATTTAACACTGAGTGGGAGAATAACTACTGAAGGAAATGTAGAATAACACTGATGAAGACAGAGAGTTGATACTGAGTGGGAGAGTAATTACTGAGAGAAATGTAGAGTAACACTGATGAAGACAGAGAGTGAACAATGAGTAGGGGGACATAAAATATGAAGTGCATGATTGTTGAATTACTCACACTGTAAGTTTGATGTTATTCGATGAACCAACAAATCTCACATAGGCACAGAATTTAGTGATCGTTTCATCGTTTGGAACACCAATAAAAACCTGAAAAATGGAAGTAATGATGTATTATATAATTATGTAGGGGACAAGGTTACAACGAAACAGAACATGTTACAATCATCAAAAAGCGAGGATTTTATATCAAGATTAATATACAATGTAAATGTAATATATTATATTTTATGTAATATATTAATATTATTATATAAAGGATCATAGCAAGTATGTTGAACCTGATCATAACAATTTGAGGTTTCAATACTTACGTCTTACATACCTAAAGCCAGTCAATATCTGTTTCAATGTTTCTATCATGGCAGTCCAGAGTAACTATAGCTGTATTCTCTTGCATGTTTATTATCAGTTTCGCATCAATGAGGCAGAAGGAAGTCACTGACGAAACGTATGCATTCAGCATTGCACAACTTGCAATGCACCTATTATGTTGGTAACCGTTGATGCTGTCTGTCACAGCAGATGAAAAAGCACTCGAAACAACGACCATGTAGCTCTTTCAAATTCAAGCTGTATAACTATAGTCTATAATGCATATTATAATATGATCTAATGATGCAGGCGAAGCTAGGTCAGGAACGCAGCAATGTGAACCGACGAAACCGGAAACAGGTAACCAAAGATCTCTGAATTCTCTGGTCCATTATTCAGTTCTGATGTTTCACACACATACCTAAAATGAAGTAAATGTTATGAACAGTTATTTTTTCCTTTTCACCCTTTTGAAAAAAGGCAATAGTGAAAGGTTACAAATGGAGGTTTTTGCAGAAAAACGTGGATTTTGGAGAACGAGATAGGTGGGTTTAAATATGTCGTGTGTCCTTCCTTCCTTCCTTCCGTTCGTTACCATGCAACGAAAAAGTTGGGCGCGCGCGAGGATTGCTTGCGGAGATGTGATGTATAGATAGCCTGTGATCTATGAATGCGCGGCGCGACTGTGTTTTAATGTATATGATGCATGTAATGTATAATATTACTATTAGGTAATACGCCCAATTTGTACGTGGCACGCGTAGTGTATTGATGTGTACACGAGTATAGTTCTACGGCAATTGAACTGAATTTCAAGTGTTTCCCGTATTTGATGCATAATTTATCAATATTATTATCATGAAGATTGAAGTGAGCTGATTGGACCTTACACTTAAATTTATAGTAAATGTGAAATGGAAATCTAGCGTCCGCCAAAACGAAACAACGGGCGCAATTCTTGTTAAAAGAATACTAACTTGTATTATTTTTCTTCCCAATATAATGATATACCAGTAGTTTGGCAGTCCAATATATTTTCTTATATAAGATAACTGTATCGAGTGTACTTCTATATTATATAACAAGAATCAGCTCTACAAAAGAGAATTGGAGTTGCTAAAAATAGCAAAAAAAAACAAATACATCTAAGTTGAGGTCAAACACAATGAAAAGTTTTCCAATGTGAAATTAATAGAAACATTTCCAATGGGAGTTTTTTAGAGGGTGAGACCTTTTTTAAATAAATTCAATGTCTAAAACAGAATTGCATATACTGCATAGGCTCAATAAAATGTGACCTCCAGATCAGTAAAATTAGGGGCTCTGGGAGACCTGCATAGAGTCCACTAGTATTTAATATTAGCCTGTACTGGCTCAATAAAATGTGACCTCCAGATCAGTAAAATTAGGGGCTCTGGGAGACCTGCATAGAGTCCACTAGTATTTAATATTAGCCTGTACTGGCTCAATAAAGTGTGACCTCCAGATCAGTAAAATTAGGGGCGCTGGGAGACCTGCATAGAGTCCACTAGTATTTAATATTAGCCTGTACTGGCTCAATAAAATGTGACCTCCAGATCAGTAAAATTAGGGGCTCTGGGAGACCTGCATAGAGTCCACTAGTATTTAATATTAGCCTGTACTGGCTCAATAAAATGTGACCTCCAGATCAGTAAAATTAGGGGCGCTGGGAGACCTGCATAGAGTCCACTAGTATTTAATATTAGCCTGTACTGGCTCAATAAAATGTGACCTCCAGATCAGTAAAATTAGGGGCTCTGGGAGACCTGCATAGAGTCCACTAGTATTTAATATTAGCCTGTACTGGCTCAATAAAATGTGACCTCCAGATCAGTAAAATTAGGGGCGCTGGGAGACCTGCATAGAGTCCACTAGTATTTAATATTAGCCTGTACTGGCTCAATAAAATGTGACCTCCAGATCAGTAAAATTAGGGGCTCTGGGAGACCTGCATAGAGTCCACTAGTATTTAATATTAGCCTGTACTGGCTCAATAAAATGTGACCTCCAGATCAGTAAAATTAGGGGCGCTGGGAGACCTGCATAGAGTCCACTAGTATTTAATATTAGCCTGTACTGGCTCAATAAAATGTGACCTCCAGATCAGTAAAATTAGGGGCGCTGGGAGACCTGCATAGAGTCCACTAGTATTTAATATTAGCCTGTACTGGCTCAATAAAATGTGACCTCCAGATCAGTAAAATTAGGGGCTCTGGGAGACCTGCATAGAGTCCACTAGTATTTAATATTAGCCTGTACTGGCTCAATAAAATGTGACCTCCAGATCAGTAAAATTAGGGGCGCTGGGAGACCTGCATAGAGTCCACTAGTATTTAATATTAGCCTGTACTGGCTCAATAAAATGTGACCTCCAGATCAGTAAAATTAGGGGCTCTGGGAGACCTGCATAGAGTCCACTAGTATTTAATATTAGCCTGTACTGGCTCAATAAAATGTGACCTCCAGATCAGTAAAATTAGGGGCGCTGGGAGACCTGCATAGAGTCCACTAGTATTTAATATTAGCCTGTACTGGCTCAATAAAATGTGACCTCCAGATCAGTAAAATTAGGGGCTCTGGGAGACCTGCATAGAGTCCACTAGTATTTAATATTAGCCTGTACTGGCTCAATAAAATGTGACCTCCAGATCAGTAAAATTAGGGGCTCTGGGAGACCTGCATAGAGTCCACTAGTATTTAATATTAGCCTGTACTGGCTCAATAAAATGTGACCTCCAGATCAGTAAAATTAGGGGCTCTGGGAGACCTGCATAGAGTCCACTAGTATTTAATATTAGCCTGTACTGGCTCAATAAAATGTGACCTCCAGATCAGTAAAATTAGGGGCGCTGGGAGACCTGCATAGAGTCCACTAGTATTTAATATTAGCCTGTACTGGCTCAATAAAATGTGACCTCCAGATCAGTAAAATTAGGGGCGCTGGGAGACCTGCATAGAGTCCACTAGTATTTAATATTAGCCTGTACTGGCTCAATAAAATGTGACCTCCAGATCAGTAAAATTAGGGGCGCTGGGAGACCTGCATAGAGTCCACTAGTATTTAATATTAGCCATTGCACAAGCTTGGAATGCGGTTCTCATAAGGAAATTAGCTCCTTTGGCTACAAAATAGCACGTATGGTTTTGAACATATATAATATGTTTTTTGATATTATATATCAATTAATCGCTGTTTCCTGACTTTCTACACTCAACAAAAATGTGTTTCTCCTATATCAGGCACAACAATGTTATGTCCTGAAACCATGCACTAGTGTTTCTATGTTTAGTAGGGTTTCCGGTCATTTATATATGTACAAAATTGTTCGTCTTGTAACCACCAGTATTATTATTTTTTCTATTATATAGAGTTTTTGACATTTTGGAGATATTTGTGATGATGTTATGTCATAATTTTGTACATTACTTTACCAGCGCCAGAAAAAATATGACATGCTGAGTCCTTCTCTTCACATGTATTTGCAGAATTATAAAATGTTTTCCCCAGCAAGTCATTCCTGACTACTGTTTGGGCAGATTTTAAGATGGGTTATTAACTGGTTTGCCCTCAGCTCAACCGACTTTTTACTTTACTTTTACTTTATCAGATGTGATGCTGCTGCACATTGGCTAAATGGATTGGCCTGGGGACATTTGGTTCAGTAATTTTCATGCTTAAACACTCCTTTTTTGACAAAACACATATATGCTGAAATAAATACACACTTATTTTAGGCTTGGTGGTGTATGGGCAGGATTTGAGTTTCCAAATCGTCGTTTGAATGTGGGACAATTTTGAAAACTTAACTTAAGTACTAGCAAAACTGCGCGTTTTGCTCTAGATACACACACTTTTTTAGAGATTTTACCGGTGTATCCTCTTAAATCGCCTTGTTCAATTTTAAGGAGGGGCACCAAAAGGGGAGGGGGCGCCAATAGGGGGGCGCTTTTTTCGGCTGGGGCGCCAACAGGCAACGTTACGCCACTGCAAGCGACCCTGCTAAAAGATCTAGAATCTTGTAAGGGTCCCCTTC